GCACGATAAACCAAAAACATTCTTCAAGGTTAGAAGAAAAGCATTCTCCATGTTTGGGAAATGGGCACGAGGCTCTGTGGCCCTGAGGTACAGGAACTGTAAGCACCTGGAAAGACAAGCCGTGTTCTTCTCTTTACTCTGTAATAGAGTAGAGAGGGTCGGAGAAGTACCCTGCAGTAGTGAAGGTGACGAATCAACCTCTGCTTGCATCTGCCTGCTCCCCAAAGGAAGGATTTTTTCTCTCCCAGATCTCATGGCTATTTCTTCAGATCTGCTCCTGACAATAGGCAATTGACAAAAATGTTGAGGGAGACAGAGATAGAAAGAAATAGCTAAAGAAAGAGTCTGAAGTTACCTTAATCTACAAGGGGAAGAGTCCTGAAGTTTCTGCTGTTTTCATTCTAGTGAGTAAGGTTCGCAGAGATCCAGGTGGTGGATGGATGACAAGGCTCCCCATAGCACAGGACAGGAGGGGGGGGGGGCTGCCCGACAAGGACAAGTTATCCTTCATACTCCCGTCCTCAAATTTGTTTGTCCAACCATTCATAACTCCATCAAAATGCTAGGAAGCATCCCCAAGAAGGAAGCACCTCCAACACTGCCCCATAAATAAACAGAAAAATTTAGGAGACTGGGGAGAAGGTCAAGCAAGTTCACTAGAGGGAGCCCCAGGCAACTCAATGCTGCCCAGAGACACGGTAGTTTCTCAGCACCTGTCTGAAAACCAACCACATAAGGGAATGGAGCAAGAGAGGCAATAAATTAAGTCACCACGAGAGAAGATAGCCCTGTAAATATTAAAACCCAGGCCTTTCAGGATTTACAAAATCAAAAGTGTAAAGACCAGGGAACTGAGGCTGAGCAAAGTTAAGTGGTTTGCCCAAGTTCACATATCCAAAGGGGCAACTGAGACTTACAGCTCTCATCTCTAACCCATGCCCTCTCTCCTACTTTTGTATCCCTCTAGGTCAGCACCTGGAGGCCATGGGCCTAGCTCTCCTCTGTGTCTCACTTTCCCAAAGGGGGGAGCTCTCTTAACTATCTTCTTCTGCATTACTTTCCCACATACCCCACAAAATGCCTTCCTGAAGGGGACCTTCAGTTTTAAGCCTAATGTCACTTTGCTGATGAAACCGATGGATGTAAATTGCCCCCAAATAAGCCCTGGCCAGGTAGCTCAGTTGGTTAGAGCATCATCCCAATGCACCAAGGTTGTGGGTTTGATCCCCAGTCAGGGCACATATAAGAATCAACAAATGATGCATAAATACATGGAACAGCAAATCAATGTCTCTCCCTCACCTCTCTAAAATCAATAAATAAATTTTTAAAAAGAAAAAAAATTGCCCCAAATGGCTACCGTCAGTTCTATTGCTCTGTATCAACACAACAGCATTAATTCAGATGTGTAAACCTGCCATTTGTAAGTCTCCAGATTGCAGGCAGTGCTAAGTCCTGTCTTTTCAAACTACACTTGAATTTTGGGATAAGGCGAGAATTAGCCCTCCGGGACCTTGGTGTTTTAGTACATTCCACCTTCTGGTGAACTTCTTGTTTCCCAGTTGCCTGGACAACATGCAGTCTCAGGAAACCCAACCTTCCAGTTCTCAGTCCTGCCCCTGAAGGAAATTTGCCACCCTGGGTTGGCTCCCAGAACCACGTCTCCTCCTCAGGCTCCTAGCTGGTTGGGCCTTTTCTCTGCCCCACCCCATGACTGGGTCACTCCACGGGGAAACACAACAGAAGCAAGAGAGGGTCCTATAGGTAGGATGAGGCAGGGTAAAGATGATGGGAAGAGGGACGGGACCAGGTACTGAGATTTATTTTCTCCAAAAGAGGATTGAGAGGAGTGATTTCTGTACATAGAGCCTGACTTATAGAGAGAAACATCTCCACCCTCCTCACTGACTCCAGCCTTGCCTAAGCTTCTAAGAAGACCAAGAATGGAAGCTTCTGGAAAGTATAAGAGACAGATTTGGAGACTGGAATTCTAACTTTCCTGGGTCTCCCAGTTCAATCTAGGGATCAGGAAAGCATCCCTATGTCCAGACCTAAATACAAGTCCCCTTCCCCCCCCAGGACAGCAAGGAGATGCCACCTAAGACCAAAAAAGAAAGGATGAGAGATGGGGTTCAGAAGAAGAAAAAGAATGCAGGTGCTGGTGAGTCAGGATGGGTGGAGGTGGGTGCCCCTGCTTCTCCATGCTCTGGCTCAGAGACCAAGCAAAGGTGCTCCAGAGAGAATTCAGCTCTCTGCACCACAGGACAGAGCTTTCTTGACCCTCCCCTTTCATATCCTCACATCCAGGCTTCACAAAGCTGGGAAAGTGGGAAAACTGGCACCCACCCCTCCCTTGAGCCCCTTTTGGCTGCATGTCTTCCTTATAAATTCATTGCACATATTCGTGCTGGGCAGTGAGGGCGCAGTGGCGAGCTCAGCAGATGCTGCCATCAGAGATCCCTCATTTAGTGGCCCTCAGACCTCCTGCAGGAAGAAAGTCCAGAGTATGGAAGGGAAGGAAGGAAAGCTGAGGTCATAAGCTGAGGCTCTGCCAACTTGCCAGGGCAGGTGTGGAGGCTGAGTCCATGCACAGGCTGGCAGTGCTGGAAAAGGAGTTGCTCCGAGACCACTTAGGTAAGAAGGATGGAAGCTCTGGGTGCAATAAAAGTGGGCAGTGAGGCATTTCTGTATCCTTAAGGGCTTGGAGGGTTGGAGAGATGGTGGGGGTCAGAGCTGACCTCTCACCATCCCCTAATGGGGAAAGATAGTCACAAGTTGGGATTGTGAGGAAGGGGAGGGCAGTGAGGGCTGATGGGCCAGAGCATAAAGGGAGTTTTTGCTTCTTAGGAATGAAGAGCCTGTCGGACTGGGG